GATCTGTGTTCCCTTGACTGACAGCTTCCTCACTCCCCAGAACTGGTGGTCTTCTCTAATATTCCATTTCCTTGATTCTAAAATACCATACATTTTTAAGATACACCATGGATTTAACAAAAGTCTTTACTGAAGGAAGATATTAATAAGTATAAGCATGATATAAATTATTTATACTAATTTCAAGCCACAGTCTCATTTCAGTATTTTGAAATTGGGGGATAATGAACTTAGGCTCTATATCAAATGGTTAGGTTAGGCTCAAATCCTTGTTCTGTGACTTATTGTCCAATGATCTTGTAATTTCCTTGGATTTCAGTTTCCTCATTCTTATAATGGATGATAACATATATAGTAATAGATAGTTATGGTAATAAACATATAGTAATAGATAGTTAGATATAATAATAATGGTTAATAACAGAACCTAACCAGAGAGTGATTGTGATAATTAAAATAACCAAATTAGGGGCGCCTGGGTGGCTTAGTCGGTTAAGCGTCGGACTTTCGCTTAGGTCATGATCTCGCGGTCCATGGGTTCGAGCCCAGCGTCGGGCTCTGTGCTGACTGCCAGCTCAGAGCCTGGAGCCTGTTTCAGAGTCTGTCACTTCCTCTCTCTCTGACCCTCCACTGCTCATGCTGTCTCTCTCTCTCTCTCTCTCTCTCTCTCTCTCCTAGAAATAAATAAAACATTTAAAAAAATAAAAAAAAAACAAATTAAAATGCTTCTAACTCAGAGTTTGACAGAAAACAATCACTCAATTGTTGGTTAATGTAAGTATACAGTAATTATTGAAGAGTTGTATGAAAGATTTTTTACACAATACTATAGTAAAAGGTACATGATTCTTACTTTTATGATGATTTCATAAAGTTCTAAAAGCAGGCACATCCGCTTACTTTGAATTCCCACAGATAAACTAACCTCAAAGAAAGGAGTTTAGATATCGAAGGTAGAATGGCTAGGTACCTGAAAAATGTTGATAATCTATAAGCTCCTACTAACCCTTCCCAAATGGCTGCCCATGGAGTTTAAAACACATTTTCTTTCTCTGCCTTCAGTGAACACATCTAGCAAGCACAAAATCAAGGCTACAGGTGGCTGACTTTATTTTCTAACTTCATATGTTCCTTATTGGGTTACAAACTACAACAATTTTCAACTCTGAATACTCTACAACATTATCTCCTTTGCTGTTTGGATTTTCCTCAAGTGTCTCCTTACGCCCCTGTCTGTTCCTAATAAAATGTAATAAAACATTGTAGAGGTCATGTGGGAAATGAACATTTCAAGCAGTAGCACTTACAAACTATGGGCTCAGAATATACTGTGCTTTCCTCTCAAAAGTCACATCAAGCTCAATGGGTAACTATTTAGTCTTCAAGTGGCAGTAAAACATCTGTAAAAAGTGGGATTAACTGGCTTGTTGAAGTCCATTGTGATTTTTCCTGTCATTATCCTCTGACTCATCTTTCATGACTATCTCCATTGTGATATACTTGAAATCTCCTGAATAAATATAACTTCAGTAAGATTAAGTAGTTGCTTCCAAATAAGACTTTTTTCAAAACTTTCACCACATGGTTAAAATACAATATATGAAAGGGTTTTAGTGATTTGGAAATGTTTTCAAATAACATAGCTTCCAGGAAAATGACATTAACTAATATTTTTGGTTTGACAGAAACCCTATATTTTCTAAACATTCAAGGAATACAGAGCAGTTTTTGCACCTTCATTTGATTTCAGTAAATAATATGCCTAGCCATTCATGTTTTTAATGTTCATGTAACTAAAATGAATATGGGGGATGAGAGGGCAATTTAGGCTTGCATAAAGATATCACTGCACTATTTGGATATTAGAGTAAATTAGAAAAGGCGGTTTCTAATTAGAGCAGTACACACATGCGTGCGCACACACATACATACACACACACACACACACAATACATGCACATGTAGCCTACAACAAAACACTGCAGAGACTTCTTTTATTTATTTTTTTAATGTTTATTTATTTTTGAGACAGAGACAGAGACAGAGCGTGAGCAGGGGAGGGCAGAGAGAGAGAGGGAGACACAGAATCTGAAGCAGGCTCCAGGCCCTGAGCTGTCAGCACAGAACCCAATGTGGGGCTTGAACTCAGGAACCAGGAGATCATGACCTGAGCCAAAGTCAGGTGCTTAACCGACTGAGCCACCCAGGCACCCCTGCAGAGTCTTCTTTTAAAATGAGACCCTTTCCCATCTATTTTCCTGAGCCACAATTAAAATGTCATCAAAACACATGAGCTGACAGAAAACATGAAACAAGGACAGAAAGACAGAAGGAGACAACATGTTTTTTTGGTTGGCGTTTGACCTATAGTGGATGCAATTTATATCAGTGATCTCTCTCTCTCTCTCTCTCTATATATATATATACACATATATGTATGTATATATATGTATTTATATATGTATGTATATGTATATATATGTATTTATATATGTATGTATATGTATATATATGTATATGTGTGTGTGTTGCCACAAGTAACCACATAAGTGCTCAAAATTGCAGTTTCTGACAGTTTATAATAAGGGTTTTTTCCATTATTTCATAGATTCCCAAGGATCTAAAGTGCAATTAGAATAACTCCTCAACTCAGATGTTTCCAAACTTTCTCATTTTGTGGCATTCATACTTGGTACTCTTGGGCTAAATGAAATATGTGAGTTTTGTTTGTTAAGCAGACATGTCCAAACAATAAATATTTATGTGCTAAAAATTAGTAGCCAATGACTAAGTAATATATATTAATACATAAAACCTTATTTTTATTTCGATCTTTAATTACCACAGTTTCTTAATAATGAGATGCCCATACCTACTAAACCTGGTTTAATTTCTCAAACTTTAGAATAAGATTGAACACATTCACCATCTTCTTCTGTTCCTCACTGATTTTGTGTTGTACTTGCTTTTTATTACAGCAACCATCAAAAACTAAGCTTTGCAAAAATATGATGTTGCACTAAGTTATATATATGATTTAAGGCTGAAACTGTAAATATATAGCCTCATTCAACTGGTTTGTTCTGTGTCTGACAGACTGTGTTGTCTTTGAAAAAATTTAAATATGTGGTGATTTACTGGAAGTTTACTGAAGAGCTTTGGACCATCTTTGCACACAATATGGAAACCATGACCTTAAATAATTGTTTCTTATCATAAAAATTCAAGGTATTTTATTAAACAGAGGCGTCTGTGTTGTATTACAAGTGGAGTGTCATGGAGAGCAATGAAAAGTTATTTCCTCAAACAATAAAAAACAGGTGAAATCCTTCCATCTCCCCATAAAACAATATTGTAAGCACAACAACACAAATTTAGATGCAACACTATCGGTGAGTGGCGTCTTATTCTTTTTTGGCCATTTTCTCAAAATGGCTAGGGGACATGGGTGCAATGTGCGAAGCGGCACCTAAAGTTCTTATTTTCTTGTGAGGTGTGGGATAGGATATGAACGGGAGAACAAGACTGGATGAAATATCCAGGTGACTCCACTCTAAGAAATGGGGAGAGGGATCCTCTCATCTCCAATATTCTCCCCGTGCTCATATTCCAAAATCTGGCCAACAAATATCACCTAAATAGGTGATTCCTTAAGGGTCTGATGCCATCCAGGAAGCCCACAGGTAGTCAATGGTGCCAGAAACATCTCATCAGGTCAAGCAAATACCACTAGATGGTGCCAGACCAAGCAAGAACTTGGATTTGTCTAAATTTTGTATTTTATTCCTGAATTCCAAGTCAGTCTGTGCATAGACTCATTCTGGCTATTTTGTTGACTTGCATTTTAAATAATTTGATATTTTGGATCCACTCTGAGTTATCATCCCAGGAAATTTAACTGTAGCCTATATTAGATATCTACTATTAGGCAGTTTTGTACCAACACAAGAGTTATACAGATAATTATTATTCCATTAATTCAGAGAAGAGAACATCTTCGAGGGTTTCTCATAAGTGATAAGAGCCTGAGTTCATTCATCCAGATTCTTATTCATAAACCGGAACCTTATCCCTAGCTCCATTATGGCAGCAGATATGAGGATCCAAACTATAGCCAATAAGGTCAGACCCTGGAGGACTCAGAATGCCTCATGGAACCTTCCAGTCATGCCAGAAGACAGGTGTTCTCCAGGGATAAGACACATGCCCTGCCACTCTCAAATATAAGTTAACTTGTTTGGAGTAGTATTAGGGAATATCATCGTTTTTTTCAGTATTTACTTTTATAATCAATCATTTTATTGAATTTGTAATATTTTTGATTAGTGCTTTGGATATCAAAGTATTGTCAAATTTGTGTTCCGGTTATGTAATATTTATACCTCTCTATTTTCTCTCTTTTCTGACTGAAATGACTAGAATTTTCAGAATAATTTTAAATGATAAGACCAAGAGTGAACAAATTTAGACTATTCCTGACTTTAATGGAAATTCATAGAATATTGTACTATTAAATATACTACTGTCAACATTTCAAATTAAAAAATTGTGCAATACATGTCGGTGTATTTAATATATCCTTTTCATTTACTGTCATATAAATACACATTATTTTGTCAGCATGCCTATGTCCAAAACAGGTCAATATTTCTCAAAAGTACATTTTATGACATAAAAAGTGCAATATGGCAGGAAACAGATTCTATTAATAGCGCTTTCTTGCTTTCATTAAAATAATAACAATAGTAACAATAGTAATTCAAGACCAGTGGCATTCCTCAGTACCTCTCTATGTATTTATTATTGCTTATATTCCTAACAGCAAATATTTGAGTTTATGGTCTAAGCATTGTCTAGTTACAACCAACAAGTCAAACTTGAACCTCTGATACTTATTCAAATGGACTTATTAAAAATAATAAAAATGCAATTAGCACTGATATTTGTAGTAACAAGAAGTATTAGACATTAGGTTTAATAATTTTCTTTAATCTGTTGAATTAAAGTAAATAACAAAGAGACCAAAACATAGATGTCAGGGCACTGATAACCTACCAGATGGTAGGCAGACCACAAGGCAGAGATGAGACTCAGTGCATTTAATTTTTCTACTTGTCAGCTGTGCAGGTAATATGAAGGATGGTAGAAAGTGTTAAAAGGAAGTGATGAAGTATGCCATTTATTTAAATGACAGAGCCCTTTATTAGTGCCTATTTATCATAGATAAGTTAAAGTGAATGGGAGGAATAGTTTACAGTCATAGTTAAATAGCACATTTCTAGGGCTCAAGAAAAATACTATAGCAGCTCTTAGAAGATCAACAGGTCTGAAAATTTTGGATTTTCTAATAATTACTGCTGCACACATGCAAAAACATTTAGGATCTATGCAGAATATTTTTATTTGGCCATTGGTTCTTCTATTTCTCCCCCAGGGTTTCAAAGTATATGCTGGCTTCAGAGATCCTTCAGTTTAGCTATTTTCAATAAACATTTTCTTCAACCTTTTTTCAAACTACAGGTGAGAGGTAACGACATAAAGCAAGGAAAAGTTATATTTCTAAAAGAAGTTTATTAAAATACTGAGATAACACTGTGATGATTGAGCTAGACTTGCTAACTTACTAACGGCTAATTGTTCCATCCCGATCTGAGAGGAAATAGATTTGACATTGTATCCATTACCTTAAATTTCTCATACAGTTATGAAACATTACCATTAGAGAAGATTTTATAAAAACTTTTGCTTGCAGAGTGTATATAAATAGCTATAGATATAAGATAAAAGCTAATTCAATATATTTAATTTCCTAATAATTAATTGCTGCAGGGGACTGCCTTGGTAATTTTTTATAAAGTTGTTTCAAATTTTACCCTAAGAAGTTGTATTTGTTCTGCCCAACCCTATCATGTGGCATTTGTTTTATATTTGTTTTACAAATGTGATATTCTTGCTCACTTTTAAATTGTATTATAGTCACACATACACACACACACACACGATGTAGGCAACTTTAAAAATGATAAATTTGGGTGGAGGAGGAGAGAAAAATTGACTATCCATAGAGATCTAACTGTAAACATTTAAAAGGGAGACAACTGAGAAGTTATCCAGGGAAAATTAAGTATTTTCCATTACATTTAGCTTTTTCAGTAATTGAGAGGGAGTTCCTGGCCAACAATGCAACATATTTAAAGCAATCAGTATGTCAGAGAAACCTGCTCACAGTGATGAAACCTTCTGCTTTCTGATATGCCTGTGCAATGATAACACTAATTCATGACTCTGGTAATTTGAGAAAGTGTTATAATAAGCATCGTCTCTCAAAATCCACATGAAATGAGCCTTCTTTAGAAGGAGGGATGCACAGCTCCAGGGGCCAATTCCAGACCTTCTGTGAAAGCAACCTCAAAAAGAAAGAAATCGGTAATATTTTTTCCTGTGATATACAATCTTTCCTCAACAGGTGATCCAATGGAATCTTTACTCAAGGTGTACTATCTCTGAATATTCTGTATCCTTAGGCTTGATACACTAATTACTTTTTACATTAAGTTTTCCTTTACCTGGCAAGTAACCTAATTCAATAAGTGCAGTTCCCCACTATACTCTTCCCTTAAAATACTACTTCTATCTTGTGATGTTGTTCTTGCAGCAACTCCATGACAAGTTCATTGCTTTCTGGTTCCAAAGACTCAGGTCCTATCCCATTACTAAGCTTCATGTATCTTCCCACCTTGAGAGCAATAGTATCCTTAAGGGTTACAATAATTCTCATCCAATTCTGTGAAAGAAGGTCATTCTTCTAGGAAGAAAAGCTTCCTGCTGCAATCTTACTCAAAGGTCTTAAAAGTAAAATTATACTCTTCTCTATCTCCATATATCACATGGCACAACTGTGCCCAGGTCCCAATGGATGTAAATAAGATATTGCTGTAGTGGTGTACAACATGACTTGGGAAGCTATAGCAGGCTTTGTCCTCAGTTCTTTGTCTCTGAATAGAACCATCTGGCCACCACTGATTTCCATGCCATTTCCCCGACCTTGATTTTTCCCTCACAGTGCAAGAGCTGACAATGTATTTTATTCTGCCTGACCAATATTTTGCTTTGGTTTTTTCCCTTTCATTCCTCTATTCTGTAGCCCACAGGGCCACCTCTACTGGAAAATAAAATGTCCCATTAGTAGACACACTATTCCCATTCAATGTACTGGTTGACTGGCAATTTCAGGATACAGGTAGCATACAGTATTTGATGAAACAGTTATGTTTAAGTAAGAACCCTGATTCTCCAGATCACCCCTGGTGTGCCCAATTATATTGCCCATATTCCACCTGAGTGCTACTCAACACATTTGCACATATACGTACATATATGCATACACATACACACACACACACACACACAAGGAGAAGGAGCTCGTGGGAGCACAGTAGCCATGGAGATATCCTGTTTTAATAAAAGTGTTGCAATTGATTGGAATGGACATATGTAGGCTTATTATCTCTCCTCCCTGAAAATCCTTGCCTCCTTAGTGATTTTTAAATTAATGTAACTAAGCCCTGTAGATCATATTCTATCTCAACCTAAGAATTTGGTTTATGCAAGATCATTTTATTAGTTGATCATAAGAAGACCTTTATTTTGTAAGTAGGGACACTGGATTGTGAAGGTAGAGGTCAGGAATAAGATCTTTGCTGTCAAACAAGAGCTCAAACTGTACTGCTTTCAGATTTTGGACTTTGTATAAGGTTCATATCTTAAAACCTCAGTATTTGCATCTCTAAAATGAAAATAATAATGCTTCTCCATAGGCTTATTGTGGGAACAAATGAGACAATATTTATATATAGTGCCACCTTGCTGGGTACATACTATATAATTAATAAATGGGAGCTTGTATTGTATTGCTTTTTCATTATTGTTGCTGACAAGAAGCTGTATACTTAATAGAAAATAAAACAATTGCTCCTTGAATGGAAGAGGGCACTTGTTGGGATGAGCACTGGGTGTTATACAGAAACCAACTTGACAATAAACTATTTAAGAAGAAGGAAAATAAAAACTGCCCCCCATCAATGAATATGAACATTTTCACCTATAATATAATCCTAGGGCAGAAGTAAATTCTGTTGCCAGGTTATATAACTAGGAAAACTATTTTTCCAAATCCACTGCAGAAGGTTTTACAACTGAAAAAGAAATCCAAACAAATACTAAGCCAGAATGGCTTGGGGATTAGCAATCAGAAAATCTGCTAAATATTAACCATGGATGTTTACAGTATTGTCTTTTTCTTTTCCTTAAGTTATGTGTCAGTATTTTTATTATAAATAATCCAAAGGAGGAAAACATGGAAGATAAATAAAATACTGTATTATATTTTTATAAGGGGAAAATGTACAAACTATAATGTCCCCTTTTAAAGCCCTGAGTTTTTTATAATGCAACATGACAAGATAACAACTACTTGAATTGAAGCATAAAATACAGGTTTCCAGTATTTTTTATTTCATGTAGTTAATAAAATTGCTTTTATGGTGATTGCAACTAATAGTTCAGTTACACAAATGACTCTGCTCTTACAATATTTCAATAACCTATGATATCTAGGTCAAAAATACTGTTTTAACCACTTGAGATTTCTGTGCTTTTCATCAATCAGAAATCAATTTAGATTAACAAATCAGAATGAAGTTTAGTGCTTCCCACAGATTAAAAAATGTATACTTCAAATACGACAAAATGCATAGTCAAAAACAAACAAGCATGCTAAATGCAGTTAAAGAAACACACTGCTCTCTCAAGTTTTGTTTTTCATCTGTAAGAACAAAATGATAAAAGAAAATAACTCCTAAAGATTATAAAATATCATAGCGTTTCTGATGAAAGAGTCAACACTTTAATGTCTCTCCTTCCCGCCTGGCTGAGAACTCAGGCAATCAAGTCATTCATTTTAACTTGATATTTTCAGAGCACTGGAAACCACTCTCTGACGTTCTTACCCTGACCCCAGTGACAGGAGTTTAAGGACTCAAAGCCCTTTGGTGTGATGCAAGGGTCTCTGTCACTCAGCCAGATCCCTTGGAAAATGGGGGCTGGCCCTATGCTGGGCGCAGGGAAAGGAGTTTGGGGCCGGCTGTGGCTGCCTGGAATGGGGGATCCTGGAAGGCAGATCTTCTGACGGCTTATGTCAATCCAGAAAAATTAGATAATCTGACCCAGAAAGAGGAAATGGCTTGCACAGGGTGGGCAAGCTCTGCAAAGGGCAGAGGCCTTCTCAGTCCTATTCAGTTGGGGTTTACAGACTCCAGAGCAATAGGTGGCATATAAAAAGTCTTGGTAATTAGTTATTAAATGAATGAATGAATAGGAACTTAGTTAAGGGATAACTTTTTTTCTGTCATCAATTTGGCCAATTTCATTTCACACTTGAAGAATATTGGATTGGAAAGAATTTTGTCAATATCTTTTTTTCTTCCCTTTTTGGTTTCCAATAGGTATTTTGTCAAAAATCCTTTTAAAAATGAAGCCAGTTTAATTATAACTGCTGAGGAACTGTAGAATTGGTTCAATTGCAAGAAAACAAATTATGGCAAAGCAGGAAGAATTTCCTTGGAACAATGTGCAATGGTGAATTAAATGACTTTATTTTGCTTTTTAATTTTAATGTTTTTCATATGTATAGATCTCTAAGATTTCAAAGTAGGGCACATAAATTATAAGTTTGCATTGCCTATATTTCAATTGATGAATAACTGATTCCCCAATATTATAGAAGTGAACCAACTGCAGTTTCCAAACAATGGATAACATTTAGAAACAAACAAACATATACACACACAAAAAAAGCCTATCCGCAAATCAGTGTGCTATGGAAGGTCAAAGCCTGTGTAGCAAAGACTTTTCCTTACAATAGAGTACAAGCTAAATAAAAAAGAAAATAATGAACAAAAGGAGTGATTCAGGTTACAGTTTCAAAGTCTTGGGAAAATTCTATTTCTATAGTATATTGACTTGAATAAGGAGAGGGAAAGAAAACCCATCTTTAAAATTACTATTGAATAATTAAAATAATAAAAACAGGTTATCTTTCAGCATCAAAGAATGTTCATATATTCATAGAACAAGGGCTTACATTTATTCACATCCATTTTTTGAAATTATGATAAATACCATAAAGTAGAAATGTCAAAAGCTAGGACTGTTTATAGCAGGAGTTTCTGACCTTATTTGGGGCACAGGAAAGCCACTCTTGGAGAAATTAGTTCTGAAGGATGCTTTCAAGTCCATTATTTAGTGGGAGGGCATGGTAGACTAGCTGGGGAGCAATATTGAAAGAAGGAGGGATATTTGCAGGAAGCACTATGAAAATAAAAGGACCACAGGGCCTATGAGAAATTTTAAGAGTAATGTGACTAAAAAGAAGAGAATAATAAGGAAGAGAGATCACTCCAAAAGGAGATGTTGGAAGATCAGAAAGCATCTTGGTGTCCGGGTTAAAGAGCTGG